TTTTTTACGTGGCAAGCCTTTCTTTCGTGATTAAACACATAATAGTGTTGGGACATCAGCTCTGCCAATCAACTATTCCGTTAGAGCTATGAAATAAAAATCATTCCTGTGAGTAACGTCAAATATTTCGATAAGTTTAACGATCAAATTCGAAGTTTGAAATTGTAGTGAACAATCGAAGACATCAACCTAAATTTAGTGACTATTGGAATAATAATAACACTATGTTATAACCACAAACAAAACCTTACAATTACAAATTCCAAGGCATTCCATGGTCAGAAATGTGATCTTTCATATTATAAAACGCAAATTTAGTGTTGTACATAGAGTAATGATCATGTCCGAAATAGGAGAACCCAATTTTCTTTTTTATATAAATTTATTTATTTATTTATTGGTATTGATATACTGCTTTGGACACAATATTCTTTCCATTAACCTTATTCGCCTTTGATAAGTAATTGCACCACAAATAATATGTACACGAAAGCAGCAGTAATAGGCAACAAATAAGTACTTAAAAATTTTGTATGCATTCGAACAGTTATGCGACGGTTTATGTAAGCAAGTTTTTGTAAAATCTGAATTATGAAGCATAGATGTTAGCTCTAATAGCACACGTAAGAAATTAACCGCATACATCCTGTTGACATACAAAAAGTGTAACCCAAATTGAATAATTCAAGAAATGAAGCCCAGTTAGGAAATTCAGGATAAAGACCCAAATAGGACCATTAATGAATGCAATGGAGGTTCACGAACAAAGTACCATCATCGCTCAAGCTTGCAAGACGTCCAGGATCTGAGCGAGTAGAGTGTCTTACGGTCGCCCAAAGCGATGAGCCCATTCTCGCCCAAACCTTCGAGTCGTCCAGGATTTGAGCGAATACAAGGTATTATGGTTATCCAGTACAGCAGTTATTGAAGCGGTTATTAAGCAACCTTATCACACCCCATGATCCAAGAATCCCGGTTGTAGGCAGTTAAACGACAAGAGTAATGGCAACAATTAGAGTCGGCAGTTCCATGACAGGTCAGCCATCATGAAGAAAGTGGGTAATTATAGAGCACCAAGCAGTTCTAGGAAGTTTTTTCACAAAGAAACTATCAAATGAGTATAAAAAGGAAAAGAAGATATAGAAGAAAAGACCTCGAATCAAACACTCTCAACATAGAATATGTAATTTCAATTTCTTAGTTTAACTTTAAAACATCTCTTTTTAATACTCGTGTGCTTGCGCCACTTGGAGGCATTCTGTTTATTTTCAATTGTAATCTTCATCAATAAAGAACCCATTTTTGGGATTTTGTCTCAAGAGGTTTGTTCCTTACACAATCATCTGAACATTTTTAATTGTTAGCGATAACCCGCGCGAAATACATCCACTCATTTTATTAAAGATGTAATTTAAAACTTGCACTTGAAAAGAGACCTCGCAATTTCAACATGTCTTCAAGCCAATGCCCACTTGATAGCCCTTTACACAATGAAACTAACACACAATTTTATTTTTTTTAGAGATAAAAATTATGTACTAACTTGGTTGGGACCCTTTTGTATCTTTACTCAATATACGCAAGAAAAATGCTTATTGTAAATAACTATTTTCATGATATTTTACGTAATGACAGGGTGTCAAAATGTAAGTGGGAAAGTTATTTAATTGATGAGATTTTGATCCAATTAAATCTTGTCACATCATTTATTGGTAAATCATTGAATTGTTATGTACATATAGCACAAACCTATACATAATTCCTTGCCAAAAAAGATAGAATTTTCGTTAATGCGAAGTCGAGAAGAAAGGAAAGTGAACGGACCTACTTTTATATATCATTACACCACTTTCACTTATCATAGAGTTGATGGTTTCCAAATTTGAGATCAACATGAAGCAATTTGGTTAGTTACTTTATCTAGATAATTCTCTAAGTCCATACAAAGCATCAAGGTAGCTATCTGCCTTTCTCGATATTGGATTCCCACCCAAATCATATTTCTTACTAAGCCCCGTTTGATAGGAAGTAAAATTTTGATTTTAATTTTAATTTTAATTTTAATTAAAAATAATTAAATTTTAATCACATATTTCGTGAGATATCCACAACTTTTCAACCACATATTTTATCATTTTTTATCAAAATCTACTGAAAAATTGATCTCAGTTCCCACCAAAACAAACATGGGCTAAGTTAAATCTGCAATTTTTATTGGGAGTGCATCAAATAATAACTTCAGCTATTGACTTTTCGTTTATCTATTTTAACATTTTTCTTAATTACTAGTTTTAGGCCGTGCAATGCATGGGTGTGGTTATTTTTAAGATTATGTTAGCGTTGCATATTATTGTTTCGCGCGAGTTATCGCTAACAATTAAAAATGGATTCAGACGATTGTGTATGAGACAAACTTCTTGAGACAAAGTCCCAAATATGGGTGCTTTATTGATGAAAGTTACAATTGAAAATAAACAGAATGTCTCCAAGGGGCGCAAGTACACGAGTACTAAAAAGAGATGTTTTAAATTTAAACTAAGAAATTGAAATTACATATTCTCTGTTGAGTGTGTTTCGGGGTTTTTTTTCTCTATATCTTCCTTTCCTTTTTATACTCTCTTGATAATTTCTTTGTGAAAAACTGCTTGGAAACTACTTGGTGCTCTATAACTACCCACTTTCTTCATGATGGCTTACTTGTCATGGAACTGCCATCTCTAAATGTTGTCATTACTCTTGTCGTTTAACTGCCTACAACCGGGATTCTTGGATCGTGGGGTGTGATAAGATTGCTTAATAACCGCTTCAATAACTGTTGTACTGGATAACCAGAATACCTTACATTCGCTCAGATCCTGGGCGACTCGAAGGTTTGGGCGAGAACGGGATCATCATTCTAGGCGACCGTAAGGCACTCCATTCGCTCAAATCCTAGGCGTCTTGCAAGCTTGGGCAATGACATTACTTTATTCGTGGGCCTCCACTGCATTCATTAATGGTCCTATTTGGGCCTTCATCCTGGATTCCTAATTGGGTTTCATTTTTTGGGCTATTCTATTTGGGCTACACTTTTTGTATGTCAACAATTACACCCCAATATGGCAGAATTAATACCAATTATTAATTTTTGTCATATTCTTCCTTTATATTTTCCGACAATATTTGAAATTCCCAAAAATTTCAATCATTATTTCTGTTTGGCAATAACCCTTCTATAGCCTGAAATGGTATAACGTTATAAACCCCTATAAACCCAAAAGACACGCCACTTCGTCGCGCCATTACCTTCACGTCTTTACATCGTGGGTTCTATAAAGGTCATTGTTCGTTGTCTTACTTCCTCACTACGCTTTTCAAGAACCCTTCACGACGTCTGTACTTTGCATCAAATGGCGACTTCACAAACTCATTCCGATGATTCCTTCAGTTTTGAGGATTTCCAAAACCTTCTTACTAGACCGTATATAAATTCAAACTTCATTTCACAAGCCAATGCCGACCTTCATGAATTCTATCTAGGTCCATCATTCAATAATGCTGAAGCGGTCGAACGAGAGGTGGTGGGTTAACTATCCTCTTGCACTAAAGACCCTCCTTTTCTGAACTCCTTTCCATTGAAGTCATTCCGCGATAAAGGTATTCGTACTTGGCTAAAAACTGATCCTAGTTTTGGTAGATGGTATGCACGTATGGTAAATCATGGTCTCACCAAAGCAATTTTTAATCGTGCTAAGATTTTGGACCTATTAGAAATTACCATTTTTCCCCAACTTATGACCCAGTGTTTTTTCCAGTTGTCCTGAGTTTCTGGTCTTCTGAGTATAACATTTTTATTTTCCCTCTTGGCCCAATGTCTATTACTCTAAGGGATGTTGGAGCCCTAGTGAATCTTCCGCCCTCGGGCGATACCATCTTTCCTGGTATTTTGATTTCCAGTGTTGCCCCAAAGTTTGAAAAGAAAATTACTGAATCTTACTCAGGCATGCAAAGCCTTTATACTGCTTC